ACCCGGAGCCGCGCCTGCTGCGCTCTGGCCCGCCCGAGAGTGGGAGCTACTCATTTTGAGGCGCGAGAAGCCGGGGGGGCGGTGCTGCAGCCTCGGCGAGGGGACGGCCCTTTAATTAAAGTCGCAGGCACCTCGGCGCGCGGGAGGCGAGGAAGGAAGCAGAGGTTGCGCTGCGGAGAGAGCGAGCCCTTTAAATGCGGGCGGAGGGCGGGGCCAGGGGGCGGGCCTCCTGCGGGGAGGGGCCGTGGGGTGGGGCTTCGGGGGCGCGACTGCCCCACCCCGCCCCGCCCGTTGGAATGCCCCCACTAGGCCCCGGACTTTGGCTGATCAGACGCGAAACCCGGGCTCCGGGGTGGGTCGCTGGGCCCTGGAGTGGGCAAGGATGCTCCCAGCCCCGCGGCCTCGCGTTGGCGCTGCAGGAAACGCGCCCCAGAGCGAGGAAAGGCTGAGCAGTATCTGGCGCGGGACTGCTTGGCCTGCAGCCGGCGCGCCTTACAAGGGACTTTCCTTCCCCAGGGCTCCTGCGAGGGGTGGGGTGGTTCTCGTCCCTAAGTCACTTGGGCTCTGCCCCGTCCCTGCACAACTCTACCCTCCCACCGTCATCCCCCTTCCCCGGGCCCCCAGGGCCTAGGGTTCCCGGGCGGCATCCCGGTCCGCCGCCCCGGCAGCGGCGGGAAGGGGCCAACCCTAAGAGCGAACCCCTGGAGAGCGGCGGCCCCGGACCAGGCACTGCCGAGGGCCCTTTGTGTGCGCATCACCTGGGAAGCGGCTGCAGGGCAAGGCCTGCGCCTACGCGGTCCCCGCAGACCCCCTGCCACGGGCCCGCCTTCCCAGTCTGTAGAGCCCTCGCCTGCGCACCTGTGCCCGCTGCTTCCCACCGCCTCCCTCTCTGCTTCCCTCCACCCAGGAGGATATGGGGCACTGGGCCAGGAGGCCGCCGACACTCCAGGAGCAAGCAACCTTTGAAGGGGTCCGGGCGTGCCAACGGGCACGCCAGTGGGCGCGGGCAGAGGGTGCCGTGCGATGTGTGCAGAGACGTGTGCCCGCCTAATCATTCATGCCAGTTCACCCGGGGCACTGGGGGGAGTTGAAGCCGGGGTCCTCTCCTGTCGGAAAGGCCCCTGAGCCCAGCATGGCCAGCCAGGGGACAAACGGGAGTGGCATTCCAGACCCAGAGGGGCCTGCTCTGCGGTTCCCATAAGACTTGTCAGACTCTGAACACCTGGGTCTGGGTGGGCTTCGGGTGTGGTGGCAGGTGCAGAGGAGGCCTGAGGACAAGGATCAGGGGCCTGGGGGGTTGTGTCCCCAGAGCAGTGGGGGCTATTCATTCAAAATTTTCTGGTAGATAACTCTGGAGATGGTGCAGCCGCTGCTGTGCTGAGATGTCGACTGGGACCAGGGAACTGTTGGGGATGCTCACCGCTACTATCTTCAGCCAGAAGCCAGCCTGCCTATGGCTTCCTCCCCAGCATGCACTCCCTCTCTGTCCTCGGTACCTCCCCTCTCCGGAATGTTTCCTCCTCTGAGTGTTTTTTTCTAGGAAGGCAGGTATCTGTCCCTCCTGCTCAATTCTAGTAATAATTAATTTATCTGCTAAAGACCAGTGAGAGGAGGAGGCTCCGGCTTGGCCAGCACGTCATGCCCAAATATGGTTGACTCTCCTGTAGCCCTAGTTGTCTACATGACATGTGGTCGGGCTGTGTGTGATCCACCCAGCACATTCACTTCGGGGCTGCCTGTGGCCCCACTGGTTTTTCCCACTAGTGGTGGTGTTAGGGGGTGCAAATGGCATTTTCCAGTACTGAGGCCAACCCCTGTATATTGTCCCCTCTCCTGACGACTTTGAGACACACCTGCACCAAGTGCACCTGGGCGTCTGGGAGCTGGGGTGGAGGTGGGAGGGAGGACTGGAAAGGGGGGACCCATACAGATCCCTCCCTGCCAGACCCCATTCAAGACAGGTCTGAAGTTGTCCTTCTGGTTCCCCTGCCCCACTGGAAAGCAAGTTCCCAGGCACGGAATTCCATCAAGAATTTACTCTCCACTAAGGGCCATTGAGTTGGGTTGTCTGGGTTCATTCCTTAATCTTCAGAGCTCAGGGAAACTGAGTCAGAGTGACCAGTAGTCAATTCCAGCAGAAAGGGTGTCAGGAGATGGGTGCCCTGTCTTCCAGCCCTAGCTTTTCCCTATTTAGAGGAAACAAGGAATGGGCGTGTAGAGGGTTCTTGTCCCTAGAACATAGTATCACCGCCAGATGTCGCCCGATCCCAGAGCCCCCAGATCGGGCAGTCCTGGGAAGCCAAAATCCAGCTCTTTCATATTTTCCCTTATTTGGAGTAGATTCTTGGATGTTAGACACACCCCGCCCACCACACCACCCCTGGCCCTCAGACCCCAGGCCAGACCCTCCCACTGGGAGGTATAGCCCAAGCCCAGGGGCTGTTCAGCTGGGATCCCTAAGGAGCCATTTCCAGGCCTGTGTAGCCAGGGGGCGCAGGAGGGAAGGAAGCAGCAGATTGGCAAGGTGAGAAGAGACCTGTGCTGGCAAGTCCAGGTGCGGCAGGTGAGGCTGCCCATTCCCAAGCTCCCACCTCGGCAGTGTACTCAGAGCACTTACAAATGGGTCTGCCAGTGGACTTTAACCTACTTTGCCTGGCCCCAGGTGGCATGGGAATCTGGGGACATTGTTGGTCACATCCTGGCTGGCAGTGCGCATCCAGCTCAGAGCCAATCTGGGATATGGCCCAGGGCCGGACCAAGGAACCTAGCCTGGCCTCAACCTCACCATGGCCGCCATGGAGTACAGCAGCCCAAGAACCAGCTCCCCTTTGCCCAAAGCAGCGGGTGTCCCGTGGACTCGAGCCAGCAAAGGACACCCTGTCCCCCTCCCAGTGGGCACACTGAGAAGTGTCCTTCCAGGTGGCCACTCACCCTGAGTCCACACAAGTTCCTGGTGTCAGGGCCCTTCTCTCTCAGGCATGCAGTCTGTTCATGGGCACCCACGCAGGCACCAGTTTCCTGGCAAGTGCCCAGACACCCTCTTTCTCTAGGCGATCCCCCCATGGCCTCAGGCTCCCACATTCGTGGGCACAGACACGGCTCGTGGGTCAACTAGGGAAGACATTCTCTGGACACTCACTCCCAGATGTCAGGGGCGCCTCCATCGGCTCACGCATCCCAGTTGAACCTGGCCCGGACCTGGGCGCGAGCTGGCGCCTGCGTTCTCGGGCCTCTGTGCCCGCCTTCTCCAACCCCGCCCC